CCTGCCTGAGAAATCTGCTGCATAAATATTTCCTGTGAAGATACTCTATATATTTTCTAGAAACTTTATAATTTTAGCTTTTACATTTAGCTCTATGATCAATCTTAATTTCATTCTTTGTGAGGTGTGAACTAAGAGTTGTTTTCCTTTTTTCCCCCCATTTGAATATAAGGTTTTCCAGCACCATTTGTTGAAAAGACTTCTTTTTCCCAATGAATTGCTTTGGTATCTTTGTTGACAAAAGTTGACTGCATATAAATGAGGGTGTGTTTCTGGGCCCTCTATTCTGTTCCGTTGTTTAATCTTCTGCCAGGACCCCAGTGTATTGATTCCTGTGGCTGTGTAATGAATCTTGACATCCACTTGTCTAAGTCCTTGAACCTTTTCTTCTTTCCCCAGATGTTTTGGGTGTTCTAGATTTTTTGCGTTTCCGTATACATTTTAGAAACTGCTTGTCGGTTTCTTTAGAAAGCCTGCAGGAATTCTGATCGGGATTGCACTGAATCTAGAGATCCATTTGGGGAGAGTGAACATTGAACCAGTACTGGGTCTTCCAGTCCATACACTGAGTGTATGTTTCTCTTTATTTAGATCTTCTTTAATCTCCGTCAGTAGTATTTTGTAGTTTTCAGCTCATGGCCTTAGCATGTCTCTTATTTATTTATTCCTAAGTTTGGATTGTTCTTTGATGTTATTACAAATGGTCTTGTTTGAAAATTCCATTTTAAAATTGTGTGATACAAGTATATCGGAATGTCATTGATTCTCATCTCCTTGTATTTTGTGGTCTTGCTGCATTCGCTGTGTGTCCCAGTAGTTACTTGGTAGCTGGGATTTCCCATGTAGATAACCAGATTGTCTATGAACAGAATCGGTTTTAATTCTTCCTTTCCACTTTGAGTAACTTTTATTTCCTTTTCTTACCTTATTGCACTGGCTAAGACTTCTAATACAATATGGAGTCGAAGGTGTGAAATCAGGCATTCTAGGCTTTCTTAATCTGAAACACTTTGTGCTTTGTCATCTCAGAGTTCAGAAAGGTCTTAAGGACATTCTATGTGAAATACATTGTCCTCTTTTTATCATCCATCTCAGCATCATATTTAATTCCTTTATATCATTTACCATAAATTACAGTTGTTTTATTTGTTTACTTCTTTGTTGTACGTACCTTACATCAGCTCTTAAGCCCTTTTTGAGAAAAACTCTGTCTACACCATTGCATCTCGGTGCTTAGCGCAATGGCTCCTAGACAGCACTCAGTGAGGGCTGTGTCAAATCAGTCGATGTTGGTAGGAACTTTTAGCAGTTACACAATCTCTCCTCCTTCCTAGTGTTTGAATCTTATGTCTTAAGGGATTTTTTTCGTATTTCTCTTTTCCCCTTTTAAATTTTTTAGGAGGTTAAATTGCAGAATTTCTCATAGAAACCACTTATATTTAATACTTTCAGAAGTTCTTAATTGATATTTTATAAAAAGCAATACAGGGGCTGACCTGTGTATTGACATAGTGGTTAAGTTCAGCATATTCCACCTCGGTGTCCTGGGTTCACGGGTTTGGATTCCGGGCACAGACCTACACCACTCATCAGTGGCCATGCTGTGGTGGTGACCCACATACAAAATAGAGGAAGATTGGCAATAGATACTAGCTCAGGGCTAGTCTTCCTCAGCAAAAAAAAAAAAAAAAAAAAAAAAATTGCAATACAATTCTTTCCACTAACTTTTGCAAAATATTGTGGTGGCAAATTGGGATCATTTGCCTTTCCTGGATGTTATAGACACTCAAAAGTTAATCAGTATTCAGGCAATTTGCAGTGGTTCAATAAAGAAACAAGGGCAAACACATTCCATAATTATCTAGTAAGCAGGTGTTGGGGCCCTGTTTTTTATTCTTTAAAATCTGGAGAAATTGCACTGATGAAGTGAACTTGTTAGGCAAATTGTTTCCTTATTTTTGCCCTTTAGCTCTTGTTCTAATCTGAGTAATGCTTCATTTGTTTTTTTATGTAATTTAAGCCTGATGAAGGTGAATTGCTTTCAGCCTGGAGCACAATGATCTAAAATTTATCCAAAAGCCAAAATATCTTTCTTCTTGCTGCTCCATTTTTAGCAACTGCTGTGATAGAAAGTAAAGCTCCAGTTTATGTACAGACGTGAGGAAAATACTGAATTTTTTCCACTGTAGAATGTTCAAATAATCTTTTGGCTCATCCTACACATTGACAATGGAAATTGCATTAAAGAAATGGGTAAAAACATTTGAAGTCAGATGTTTATTATTCTATTCCCTCTCCCCCTCATCCTTCTTCTTTGCCCCCTCCCTTTTTTCTTCCTTTCTTCTTTCCTTGTTTCCTGCCTGCCTTTCTCCTCCCCTTCCTCCTTCCTTTCTTTGTCCTTTCTCCTGAGCTCACTCTGTGTCACAGTCGGTGTTTTTGTCGCTGCAAATGCAGTAGAGAATGAGACATACACAGCCTGTCCATATGCAGCTTACCTCGCAGTGGGGAAGGTTGAGAATAAAGAAGTAAAAAACATAGGCATATGGTAGGTTTTGGTAGTCGTAAGTGCTGTAAACAAGTTGTCAGTGTTTGTGTGTGTATGTACGCGAACACGTGGGCGTGCACGCGCATGTGTTTGTGAGAGAGAGAGAGGAATGGATGAGAGATGAGAGCGACTGAGGATCACAGAGGGCCTTTCTGAGGAGGAGGAACATGTGAGCTGAGCTCTGACGGTTCCTAAAACCCAGGGAAACAGAGTTTCAGGAAGTGGGGATAGCAAGTTAGAACCCCTGAGAACGGATTGAACTTGGTGTTAGAGAAACTAGAATACAGGCACTTGGCCTGAGACACGTGAGCTCGGGACAGAATCTAGCAACAAGGCTGGAGAAGAAAGTAGGGACTAGATTCTGGAGGCCGTGAGAGGGCGCGATGAAACACTTTCCATCTGCTTCCAAGGGCCGTCAGAATCTAGTGGTCCATGCATCGTGTTATTTCGTTTTGTCATTTAGACATTTTAAAGACGTCTCTAATATGATCAGAATACCTAAATTCAGATTCTCATTTTAGTTTTTCGGTTCCAAAAATAGAAAAAGAAATACATGAAGCAGAAATTGACAGAACTGAAAAAAGATGAATAAATCCACAATTACAAATGGCGATTTTAACAGTCCTCTGTCGATCATGCATAAAATAAACAGACAGACATTTATGCAGTGAGGGCTGAGAGGACAGACCCGGGCAACCTTGTCGACCAACTTGGCTTAATTGCCTTTTTATTTTGCTTAATGAAATGCTCCGCCCTATACGCTGCTGTTTTTTCAAGTGCACCCGAAGCATTCACCTAGATGGAGCAAATGTGGGACCCAAACCGAGTTTCAGTAAATTTAAAAGCATTGAAATCATATTGAATCTGTTCTCTGACCACAACAGAATTAAACAGAAGTCAGCATCAGAAACATACGTGCCAGAAAACCCCCAAAATATCTGGAAGTTAAACTATACATTGTTGAATGACTCATGAGTCAGAGAAGAAATGACAAGGGGGATTGAAATTACTGTGAAATGAATGAGAACGAAAAGACAACCAATACTCTTACTTAAAAATAAAAATATTAACGTGCGAATGGGTAGAGATTTGCATCTTCAGCTCTTCCTGCTTGTCTGCCTCTTGAATTTCCTGTCTCCTTCGTATGTGGCCTCACCCTCACCACAGTTCCTTGATAAGATTAGTGTGGCCCTGCTTTTGCTGCCGATCTGCCCCCAACCCTGGTTAAGGCTGGCCTTGCCCGTTTAGCTTGAGTTGTCCTAATACTTTTAGTTCCAATGAGCAAGCATCTACCATTTTCTTTTCTTTTTTTTTTTTGAGGAAGATTAGCCCTGAGCTAACATCTGCTGCCAATCCTCCTCTTTTTTTTTGCTGAGGAAGAGTGGCCCTGAGCTAACATCTGTGCCCATCTTCCTCTACTTTTTATGTGGGATGCCTGCCACAGCATGGCTTGCCAAGTAGTGCTGTGTCCACACCTGGGATCCGAACCAGCGAACCCCAGGCCACTGAAGCAGAACGTGCACACTTAACTGCTGTGCCACCGGGCCAGCCCCATGTCTGCCATTTTCAAAGGTCATGTTCCTGGAACTATGTAGGGGAATTTATGGAGCAAGAACAGACAAGTTCAAGTTACATGATTCTGACGCTAACTGGAATGAAAATCTTGTCAAAACTGCTTCCTTTGTGTCCGTCCCACCTGGGGAATTCGGGTCTGCCTTCTCTCTGCAAAGTAGACTTTCTGTGAGTCTTTCTTCAGTTCCTTTCTGTGACTTCTGTTTCTTCTAGCAATCCTTTGCTTGTTTTGTTTTTGTCAGTTGTTTTTAACTTTTTATAATCTTCCAGTATCTCCACCCTCAGTGTGGTAACAGTTTGTCCTACTCAACCTCATTCTTGCTTTTCAGCTTGCCTGTGTGTTAGGCATTAAGCTGGACATACATTGGCAGATGGGGTGGGAGACATGAATCTGATAATTAATTGGAGTATGCTCAGTACTCTCACAGAGGCATGTTGGAAAGCCCACGTAAACATATATTTAGTTAACAAGTATTTATTGGCCTCCTACTGTGTACCAGGCACTGTGCATGGGGGCGGTATTCCAGGCATAAGGGACTGGTTGTTTAAAGATGAAGCGTGGAGTTGTATAGGAGCAAAGAATGATCTGGGAATGTGCTCTGGCATGGGGCATTTGGTGGGGACTCTGAGGGACTTTGGGGTAGTAAGTGGTGAGAGAAATGTATAGTATCTCCAGTATTCAGCTAGAAAGGTTGTGAAAGTCTGTCTGTCTTTTTAGGGAGTTTAGCCCTGTTTCTGTGGGCACAGTGTTTATCAGCTCCATGGCAACCCTAACCAACACTCCCACGCTACCCGTATCTCTGACTTCGTGGTCACCCTTCTGCTTGCTCTAGTAACCAGTGGCTCTAAGTGGCGGTGACCACCAGCCCTGCTTATGGTGCATTTTTAAAAAGTGGGAGGGGGGCTGCCCGTCGAGAAGGAACCCCAGACCAAGGAGCCCAGTATGTGGTCCTCTTGCTTCACCTGGAGTGTTTCCTTCTCGAGTATAATTAGCCTCTTGAAATCTTTATTTATTTACTTTTTTCAAGGTAGGGGAGGAAGAGGTTGAGGTATGAACACATTCCTTTGAAAACATCCTGTGAGGTAAAAAAATTCGATTTATTGCCCACCCTGAAATTTTCTATTCTTTTCCTTTAGGTTTCTTGCTATTTAAAGATTTTTGTTTGAATGAAATTAATGAAGCTGTCCCTCAGGTGAAGTTTTATGAAGAGGTAAGAAGTTTTACTGATGCTTTTCTTTCAAAAGCATATTTAAACTGTCCTTTGGAAAATATTAAGACTACTAAATATCTTACAAATATTCGTTGAGAGTAATTAGAAGTACAAGATATGATATGTGGTTTATTAGAGATGTGACAACATCTGTAAAAATCATACTTTTAAAGGCTTTAGAATGCTCTGGAAGCAGTGAGGGATGTGTATATATATGTATATATATCTAGTTGGGCTAAGTTTCTAGAGATGAGAGAATCATTCAGAGGTGCCCTGGGGATTACCAGCCATTTGGTTTTCTGCAGAAGCCTGCTGATTCTGGAGATGACGCTAGGCAGAAGGCTACTACTGGGCGAAAGAGAAACTAGCGAAGTTTTCTGATCACACATTGCTGAAGTGACAAATCTGAGACTTGGTGGGAGGCGGGGCCCTCAAACACACAGCTGGTTTTCCCAACGAGACATTTGGAGGGGAGCTGGAGAGAGAAGCCAACAGCTTCTAGAAGACACGTTGACATCCCCCACTGCCCTACCGTGTTGTGCTGAAGTGTAGACCTGCTGTGTCAGGAATCTGAAAACTGAACAGGCCTGAGAGGAAACCCTGGGAGTGGTCCACCGACACTGACGATCTGTAGCTGCTTATCGCCTGGGGCAGCTGTTGATTCCAGCCGTGGTGGGCAGAGAAGAGTCCAGCTCTGTCCCCTGGCAGAAGGCTGCTTCTGGGAGACAGAAAAACCAGAAGAGGTTTCTGGGCCTAGAGAAAAAAAACAAGTGAAACTGGAGAAACCCCAAACACGTGGTTAGTCTCCCTCTTGAGATGTATGCCAAGTTTTGAAGCCGAATGAGGCAGGAGGCCAAAGAGCTGTTGTGAAGACGTCTGGAGGGCAGCACTGAATCTGGGGCTGAGGAGACAGTGAGCGCTCACTGCGCTCCATGGAGAGGCTGCCTTAGCAAGCGGGCAAACCAGAGGCAGACGCAGTTCTGCAAAAATGGCAACTGAGCCCCAGCCCAGCTTAACCCCTTAGTGGCTTATGAGCCCCCTCCCCACCTGTGTAACAGAGCACAAGGGGAGCCCTCTCTGTCCTTTTCTATAGGTGGAAAATAATATAGAGAGACTCTCCAGTATTCAGCATACAGTAGAAAATTCTTAGACATCTAAGAGGCAAGGTAATGTGGCTCACAAACAAGGGAGTAGAAGCAGACCCACAGATGAATCAGATATTGGAATTAGTTGACAAGTACTTAGAAATAACTATAAATAATATGTTCAAGACAATAGAGGAAAAGATGGATAGCATAGATGGAGGAATGGTGAATTTCAGCATAATTTGAATTCATTATGAAGAACCAAATGGATGTTCTAGAACAATAAGTACAATATTTGAAGTTAGAACCTTGTGGCTAGAACCTAGCAGATTGGTTACAGCATAAAACAGGATTAATAAATAGGGAGGCAGTCAGTAGATAATCTCAAACTGAAGCACACAGAAAAAGGAATGTACAAAAGAAATACATAAGGACATTAAAGACGTGGGACGTGGTTAAAAGAAACGTGTTGAATTGGAATCCCAAAAAGAGAAGAAAGAGAATGGGGCAGAAGTAATATTTGAAGAGATTATGCTAAGAATTTTACAAAAGGATGAAAGACAGCAGCTTAAAGATGCAAAGAACTTGGAAAACCCTACACAGCGTGAATACAAAGGTAACACACCTTTGCACATTGTTATAAGTCTGTGGAAACCTACTGCAAAGAGAAAATCTTCAAATCACCCGGAGGGTGGAAGGAGACACGGTGCTGTTAAAGGAGCCATAATACGGCTGACCTGACTGTGACATCTGAAAAGAAATGGTAAAGAAAAAGGCAGACAGGGAAATGGCCATCTTTAAAGTAATGAAAGAGGAAAAACTGCCAATCCAGAATTCTATTCCCAGCAAAAATTTCCTTCCAAAATGAAAATGAAATAAAGACATTTTCAGACGAAACCTGGGAGAATTTGTCAATAGTGGACCTGCGTTAAGATAAATACTAAAGAGAGATACTATAGGCAGAAAGAAATTGATCCCAGATGGAAATGCGAGAAGGAATGAAGGACGTTATACAGGGTCACTCTGTTTGTAAAATATAAATGAATATTAAACATGGAAACAATAATATAATGTTTTAGGTTTTTCAAATGTATATAAAACTAAAATCTATGACAGCACAAAAGGCAGGAGAAGGGTTCAAGAAGTCAAGTATTTTAAGATTCTAGGATTATTGGGGGAGGATAGTAAAAGTAATAATTTGTGTTGGCTTTTAATCAGTTAAGGATACATACTGTAATCTCAAGGTAACCTTCAAAAGAATAAAATGTGTGTATCTAACAAGTTAAAAGAGGAAAAATGGAATTAAACAACGTTGGATTAATCCAAAATAGGACACAAAGAGAGGACATAAAATAGATGGGTCAAATTGAAGACAAAGAATAAGATGCTATAAATTTATCTACATAAGTAATTGCATTTAACGTAAATGGACTGAATATTCCAAGTAAAAGAATAAGTTTACCTGGATAAATAATCACACTCTATTATATATTGCTTACAAGTAACATACTTTAAACAGGAGGATGGAAGAAGATAGACGATTCCAACATTAACCAAAGCCAAGCTGTAAATCAACACTAATATCAGACAAACTGCACAGTAATGCTGCTTGGAGAGAAAAAGAGATTATTTCATGATGATAAAGGGGTCAGTATCACAATCTTAAATCTGTATGTTACAAATAACATAACTTCAAAATATAAAAAGCAAAAGTGGACGGATCTGAAACAAGACAACTCTACATTCCTACTGGACGACGTTAACACACTCTTCAGGAGCTTATAGAACAAACAGACAAAACACTGGTAAAGATAGAGAAGGTCTTAATAAAGGGATGAATAAATTTGACCTAACTGACGTAGACAGAATGCTCCATCCAGCAAAAATGGAATTTGCCTTCTGTAAAGTACACGTGGAAGATTTATCCAAATGGATCGTATGCTGAGCCCTGAAGAAAGCTTCTACAGATTTCACGATCAAAATTGTTCAGAGTCTGCTCTGACCACAAATGGAATTAAGCTCAAATTTAATAAGAGTTTACTAAGAAATCCCTAACTGCCTGGAATGAATATGCTTCTAAATAATTTATGGGTCAAAGAAGAAATTAAAACAGAACTTAGAAAATATTTTTAATTAAAATGTATTTAAGAAATAACATATGCTGTTATTAGCATGATGTATCTTTACCCTAAAGCATTTTAAGTGGTCCAAAGAAGGCAAAGCATAATTTGAACTAATTTTAGTAATCTTTGTATGTTTGAAAATTGGAGAGAGATTCCTTTCTTTCTGGTTTATTGATATACATGAAGAGTTGATATTTTTCTGTACTTTTTAGATTATATTAATGTATTTCCAAGAAGAATGGTCAAATTATGGTGTACATTCAGCATCATGTAAAAAAGTAAGGTAAATCCAACAGGATTTTACTCAGTACGAAGAACTCTATTATTTCCGTCTGAATCATAATCAGGCGTTTTGTCTGGATGAGTATGACAGCTTGATCTGTCAAAAAAAATTTCTTTCTTGTGTCTTAGAAGCTTCGCTCTCCGGTTTCAGTGTGTGCTGAGTCGCCTTGTGAGACTCAGAGAAATCTCCTTTAATAGATAAATCTTGCTAGGTTGAAACAGACGGGCCGTCGACATGGGGTTATTCTTAAGCACTTCTTGCCGGTGTTGGTGACCGATGCTGATGTGTCTTCATCTGAACTTGAAATGTTGGAGCTTCTCTTTGTTGGCTTGCTCCCCAGCGCTTCTCTTTCTCTTCCGTCTCCGCACACGGTGGGTCTTGTTGACCAGATTATTCCCGTGGAGCGTAATGCTCCACGGCTCCTCAGCAGCTTGCTCGATACTCTTACTGAAGATACCGTCCAGCCTTGGGGCATCACGTACCGTTCTCGAAATCAGTGAAGCCTTTAGGCATTGAAGTTATCAATAATTCTCTGACTCCTCGGTTTCATCATTTCTGGTGGTTGTTTTATGACCCCAAACCCCAGGAAACTCTTGTCAGACATCTTGAAATGTATGTTTTGTATATGGTATTTCTACTTTCCTGTGTCCCCAGACTTTTAATGCTTAACCTATTTCCTGTGCATTAAAGTCCAAAGAGCTTGTCCTGACATGCACCTGTCTCTATATGAGTAATCACCTACCTTTCCCTCTTTGTCTTTCTCCACCTTCTTACATAGAACTTCCACTAACCAACATTCCCTGAACCCACCAAGCCCATTCTCGTTTTTGTTGCTTTGCTTATGTCCTTTCCCCAGCCTAGAACCGGCTTCCCCTTCTTGCCTTGTGGAAGCCTCGCTTCTTTTGTGGTCTAGCTCGCTGTCTGTGTTCCCCACCGAGTCTGTGTGTATGGCTATCCCAGTCTTCCGTGATCGCTTCCTCCTTTGATCCTCACACCATGCGTTGTCTCTAACGCTGGTGTAGTGCTTAGTATATGCTTGCTGCGTGCGTGCGTGTGATCAGTGTTTTCATCGTGACCATTAGTTGACTCGCAGACAGAAGGCCTAGCTAGGGTTAGGGGCAGCTGTGCCTCTCACCTGCCGTGTGATGTGGGGCCAGTGACTGAACACACTCTGGAGGCCTGCCTGGTTTCAGATCCAGAGCTTACAGGTGCGAGCAGTACAGTGTCCCTGCTCTTAAGGGGCTCACAGCATGCGGACTTCATATTGGAGCTTCTGTGACCTCATCTATGAAAGGAGGCGCAAATAGGATACTGGATGCACAATCACTTTCTAAACCAGAATATTTATAATATGCTGTTTAGGTATATGGGTGGCCGTACATAATGGTCAAGAGTTCACGCTCTAAATTCAGACTGCCTGGGTTTGGATCTGGACTCCCCTAGTTACTAGCTGCATAAAACTGGGCAAGCGGTCCAGCTTTTCCCCCTGGGTTTCCTCGGCTGAGAATC